TAATGCTTCTGGGAAGCCTAAAGCAAGACATAACATAGACCGGCAAGGCATTCAAAACCGAATTAATCAGAACCCATTTCCCAGCTTGGCTTAAAAACTGATTTTTCCAATTTCCTATTCTATTCTCATCCACCACAAATTTGAATATATAAGCCTTATTCTTACCTATCAGCATTGGCAACCCCAAGTACCTAGAACTCCCCTGAATGCTAACACCCCCCAAAATCCTGCTAATATCTACCCTTTCACCAACAGAAGTAGAATTACTAAAAAAACAACAAGATTTATCAAAATTCACCAGCTGACCCGAGGCAAGACAAAACCTATCCAAAATACTTTCAATAACAAGAGCTTGGGCACCTTCAGCATCACAAAATAACAACGTAACGTCTGCAAAAAATAAGTGAGTAATAGGAGGAGCCTGCCTACTAATACTCAAACTTTTTAACCCAGAATAAAGAGAGGCTCTTTGAATGAGATTAGCAAGGGCTTCAGACACAATGATAAATAAATACGGGGACAGGGGATCCCCTTGCCTAATTCCCCTAGTAGGACTAGTGGACGAACGTCACGAACGAGCCCTCGTGAGTTGTGATGACATAAAGGGAGAGATTAATGTATCATGAATATTTAAATTACAGTATATGATAAAAGAAAAAATTGCAATAACTATCATTGAAGTATTATGGATATTAGAGTATTTCATTCTATTGTTCTATTTTATTGTCACATGGTACAAACAAGGCCTACTCGCCCTTTTGATGACCTAGGCCGCCTCAAACGTAGGTCTTGTACATATATCCTTAAGAAATGGATTGTTTTGACTGAAAACTTTTAGAAGGCTCCAGAATTGTATAGATACTTGTAGCAGGGACAAGAAGGGCCCAGAGTCTTGTAGAGGTTTGTAGATAGGGCAAGAGTCTTGTAGAAGGTTCTAGAACATGTGTGTAGGAAGTAGGATTTTGTGGAAGTGTCTAGAAGACCCAAAACTCTTGTAGAATCTACAGCATTCCTTAGAGGAGGTGATGCCTATAAATCAGAGAGACTCCCTCATTTGCAACCCATCCAAGCTCTCTTGCACAAAGTTTGAGTGAATAGTACAAACATTTTCCCTTATACTTACTTCACTATCTTTCCCACATTCTATAGCCAAAGCACTTGCACACACCGGGCATGGTGAGGCTGACTTAGCTAGTTGTGAAGGGTCCACAAGGAGCCAAGGCACACGCATCCACTGTTCGAGAAACAAGGGCGTGACATGTGGTATCATAGCACTCTCGGTACCGTGTAGAGTATGGCCGAATACAAGGATCATGAAGCGTCTGGGTCGGGCATAACCGAGGAGCAAGCTCGAGGAAGGGAGCATACAACCGCGACCAAGGACAAGAAGCTTCGGGACCAAAGTCGAGCACGCACGTAGGTCTCAGCATTAGATCAAGTTGTTGGAGATGTCTGAGAAACTTGAGAGGGTCGAGTTCAACTTCAGATGTTGGAGACGCACGTTTTGGAAGAGGTGGAGTCCATCAAGTGCGCAATCCATGAAGGACTAGAGGAGCGCACACCGACGGAGGATCGCTTGGATCACCTCAAGGTCCTTGTGCGAGACTTGAGGGCGAGCAACAAGGGAATGCGTGAGGACCTTGCGGTGTGGAAGCGGGTGATCGCTAGTGGGAAGACTTGCAACCCAAGGTCCTCTCCAAAGATGGACTGCCCGAAGCCGACTGTCTTTTTT